AAGAAGTCCCAAAAATCCCGAAGTAGCCCCCGGCGATCCCGATTTAGAACCGTGAATACCGAAAGATCTCCAAATATTCTCGAAAAACCCGGAATAGTCCTGAAAATCCCGAAGAAATGTCGAAATAGTCCCAAAAATCCCAAAGTAGTCCCGAAGATCCCGATGTAGTACCGAGAACCCCGAAAATCTCGAATTAGTTTCAAAAAAGTCGGAATAGTCTCCAGAATCCCCGGAAAATCTCCAAGATCCCGAAACTCCCGATAAAGTCCCAAAAATTCTAGAATAGCCCAAAAATCCCGAAGTAGTCCCGAAGATATCGATAGAAACCCGAGGACGCCGATTTAGAGCCGTGAATACCGAAAGATCTCCAAATATTCTCGAAAAACCCGGAATAGTCCTGAAAATCCCGAAGAAATGCCGAAATAGTCCCAAAAATCCAAAAGTAGTCCCGAAGATCCCGATGTAGTACCGAGAACCCCGAAAATCTCGATTTAGTTTCAAAAAACTCGGAATAGTCTCCAGAATCCCCGGAAAATCCCCAAGATCCCGAAATAGCCCCGAGAACCCCGGAAATCTCGAAATAGTCTCGAAAATCCCGAAATAGTTCAAAATACCAAAATAGTCTCAAAAATCCCGATATATTTTCGAGAACCCCGAAAATCTTGAAAAAATTTCGAAAAACCCCAAATAGTCCCAAAAATTCCGAATCGGTCCTAAAAATCCCTAAGATCCCGAAATAGCCCTGAGAACCCCGAAAATCTCGAAGTAGTCTCGAAAACCCCGAAATAGTACCAAAAAATCCGAATTGGTCGCAAAAATCCCCAAGTGGTCCCGTAGATCCCGAAATGGGCCCGATAACCCCGAGAATACCGAAGTTGTCTCGAAAACCCCTAAATAGTCCAGAAAATCCCGAAGAATTCTCCGAAATCCCGAAATAGTCCAAAAATGCCGAGAATCCCCGAGAAAAATCTCGAGGAAATCTCGCAAAACCTGAAATAGTCACAAAATACGGAATTAGTCCCTAAATCCCGAGAACCCCGAGAATATCGAAATAGTCCCAAAAAACCCGAAATAGTCCCAAAAATCCCGAAGCAGTTGCGTAGCCTAAAAGAATATTATTTAGCTGAAAAATCACAAATCAAAATGCATTTAAAATATAAGTA